TATATATTATTTGTAATACTACTTTTATACATATACAAAATAATGAGATTTATGATTGTTGATCTGTTAAAGTATCATGTGATGCATTGGATGATAATAATTCAGGCTCGGTTAAACCTGTTATCATTATACGTCCATATGAATCTGAAGACCTAAAAAATCGATTTTTATTCAATTAACAATTAAAACACATTTTTCAAATCTCAAATATGTACTGATATATTGTATATTAAAAATTTATTAAACAATTTACTAAAAAGTTATGTTAATTTTGAGAGAGATGTATCAACACAACTTTAATTAATACAACTTACACATCTTTTAGAAGATGTAAGACTTGCTTATGTTCTATTCCTTCCAGCCACAAATTCAATAACTCTTCTCGTTTACATCTCAATAATTGTTTGCAGGCATTCAGATTCTCCTTTACTGCATGAATCTTTTCTCGCGCTGATGTAACTTTTTCAGATAGTGCACTGAATATCTAAGAAAATGTATGGCACAATATATACAATAGGTTCAAATATTTTTTGTTAAATTCAAATATACATGTTCAGATATACCTGCATAACTTCCATGAGATCCTGATCATGCTTCGAAACCAAGTCTTCTAGTCGTTGATCACTTCGTTTGTATTCCTTTTCCAACCTGCCTTTCTCAATCTCACGTTGTTCGTTTGTTTCGCTCGCTGATAAAGTACGGATCACTGACATCAGCAAACCACTCTATAAATTATGTAAAATACACAATATTTTATTCTGATATAATTCAAAATATATAAGAGAAGTTTTCCATAATTATATGATTTACTTACCGTTTCTTTTGTTGGTTTGATCCCTCGCGGTGGTTTGATGGGAGGTGTTATACTCATTTTATAATTGTGAGCTACAAAACGAAAAATTGTTATTTAATAATATAAAACTCTATGTATACTTTGCTATAACAGCATTAGATATTTATATAAATTAAGTATTTTAGATTTATTAACTTAATTCTTATTAACAAAAACGACTTGTATTCTGAGATTAAGGTTAACTTTTCTCTCTTAGTAATAATATATAATATATACATGTGTATGGATATAAATGAGAAAAGTACGGTCAAAAAACTTACCAGTATACTTAAATTACAAGATTTTTAATATATTTTGAATATAAAGATAAAACAATTTTTTTATTGCAACTTTTTTAGCAAGTCCCCTCCTATTGATTATTATAATTAAATCGTGTCAGATTTAATTATTGTATACAAAATGTAACTTCGCTATTCTAAATTTTTCTTCACTTTGAAAATAACTTCCCTCCCTCTGTAATGTAAATACTTTTGTTTTGATAGCCTCCCTCGTCCTCCCTCGCGCTTCACTGCCTCTTTAACTCATACTTGCACGTCACGTGACACTTGAAAGTCAAGTGTCTGATCACTGATGAAGGACAAAAAGCGCGTGAACAATTTTTATTCAAATATTAAAATAAACATGCAACGGATTTCTTGAGCGAAATTTTGCCACAGACAAAATCACATGTAAAATTATCATTTTATGTATGGCTTTGATATGAAATAAAAGGAAAAAAAGAGAAAATGAGCAAAGTGGAAAATAACAATCTGTCTTTTGTTACATTTTTTGTACTATACGTTTATAATTTTTTGCAGTAAAAAAATACAGTTCAAGGAAACGCGTTCTACCTATCGATGCTTAGAATAAATTTGCAAGATTGCAATATATTTTCATAAAGAATCGTCAATTGGAAAGAAATGCCTGTTGGAGGAGCAATAAAAATCAAATCTAATCTAATCCTAGATTTTCTTTAAAAATCGTTTATCAATAGAAAATAATAAAGTATCTTGAAAGCCAATAATCAAAGTTCAATTTATTGTTTTATTATTGTTTTAAGAACAAAGGGATTAACACGTAATGCAACATATAATCAGCTGGTATACTTTAATGTGTTAAAAAATATTACGCATCGGATACAAATTGGGGAATTATAGACATGGTAGTGTTACTCTTCTTTTCATTTTTTTTTAAATATCACAGAATAAATTTTATACAACCTTATTTTTATTATAATACAATATTTCAGTTCTTAATTGCGATGAAACTTACAATTGCATTTCTATAAAAAAATAATTTCGGAATATCAATGATATTGGACCAAGTTTATCAAAGATATGAAAATTTGATAGAAAACAGAATTTAGAATATCATCACACGCATACGTATATATAGGTTCGTGTTCCCTTCTTCTTTTTATATAGATTTCTTTAAATCTATACAAAATCTATCTTTTCTAAATTATATTAATATATATATATA